CATGTCAGCACTTCAGCCTGATTCTCAGGCTAGTCTCCCTCATGGCTGCAAGGTGGCTGGTGCTGTTACCAGAGTCACATTCAGAAATGACATCCAGAGGAAGAAGAGGTATGCATCTTTCTCGTGTCTCTCTGACCCTCTCTTCTCTTTATTTTGAAAAACTTTAAACTTACAGAAAAGTTGAGAGAGTGGTGCAATGACTATATACCCTACACCCAGATTCAAGAGTTGATAACATTTTGCCACACGCCACAATTGCTTCATCTTTCTTTCACTCTGTGTGATATATGTGTGTATACATATTGTTTCCTGTATCATTTGAAAGTTGCAGACATCATGACACTTTACCCCTAAACAACTCAGCCTATATTGCCTAAGAATAAAGATGTCTCTTCTAGAACCACAACATCATCACACTTAAGAAAAATTAACAGTAATTCTCTAATATCACTAAACATTTAGTCCAAATTCAAATTTCCTCAGTTGTCCCCAAAATGTGTTTTATAGCTCATCTTTTGCAAACCAGAATCCAACCAAGTTTCATACAGTGCATCTGGTTTTATATTTCTTTGGTTCCTTTTAATTTAGAACATTCCCCCAATTCGTTTTCTCATGACATTGAGATTTCTTTTGAATTATTCTGATTTATTTCCTTATGATGTCATTTATCTTGTTCCTCTTGTATTTGTATTTCATATAAACTTCAAAATTAGATTTAGAAGCTTAATTAGATTTATGTTAAACCTTTTTGGCAAGAATATTTCATAAGTGGTGTATTGTACATTGTGTCTCCTTTTATTAGTGAGGCAACTTTATCAGAAGCCCCAGAGTGTATTTTTCCACAAGTGTCCTTGGCCAGAGCAGGGAAATATGCACCGTCCTGGACCAGTCACTGGTGATGGAAGTGGAAATACCATGCTTAGGTTCACTAATCAGAAGTACCTCTGTGGGCTGAGGATGGTGCCTGGCTCCTCTAAAGGAGGAGGATGGATACATGCACAAAAGGGTTCTGATAGGAAGGAGGAAGCAGGCAGCATCCTTTCCCTGACGCCTTCTGTGCAACAGCAAGTTCTGTTGGTGCTACCTTTACCACATGTCTGATATTCACCACTTTTCTGCATCCCCACTACTACACCTGTCCAAGTCACCAACAACTCTGACAGGGTCTCCAGCTATAAGCTCCTAACCAGTCTCTCTGCTTCCAATCTATTCTCCCAACAGACACCAGAGTTGTCTTTTAAAATCTAAGTCAGATTATACCAAACCTCTGCTTTAATTCCTCCAGTGGCTTCCCAGTGCACTTAAGATAAAATCCTCAAATCTCAACCCGGCCTACAAAACATCACATCACTCGATCCCTGCTTACCTCTCCAGTCTCACATGGTCCACCCTTCTGCACACTCAGTAAGTGCCAGCTACACAGGCTTTCTCTCTGTTCTGTGAACGTGCTGAAACCTTTACTGATGCAGGGCTTCTGCACATGCTGTTCCCTCTTGTAGAACGTACACTCCCCCCCAACTCTTTTCCTGGCAGTAGAATATAGTAGTTGTTATGGGCTGAATTGTATTTCCCCCCAATTCATATATTGAAGTCCTAAACCCCTGTAACTCAGAATGCGACTGTTATTTAGAGATAGGGTCTTTAAGGAGGTAATTAGGGTAAAATGTGGTCATTAGGGTGGTCCCTAATCCAGCATGACTGGTGTGCTTATAAAACATGAGATTAGGACACAGACACACACAGAGGGAAGACCATGTGAGGACACAGGGAGGTGACAACTCTGCTGACACCTTGATCTTGAGCAGCTAGCCTCCAGAATTCGTGTCATATTAAAGCCAACAGGCCAGACTGACTCTTAACGTAAAGAATGAAACTCATTTCTTAACAGAGGCCATGGAAAAAATAAGAGGTGGAGCAATATTCTGGAACAATAAGGCATAGCTCTTTAAAATGTAACAATCAACCAAAGAATAGTCTTTATTGGGCTACAGCCTGGAAAGAAATCTTATTATATTTCATCCACAATTACACAGATGGATCAGTTAGAATCATCAGGGAGAGAGTCATATACTCAAAGAAGACACAGGGAGCATATGCCACAGCTAAAGGCCAAGTTAACAAATCGTGCTTCTGTGGTCATTTATTTCTTACTGTTAACTTTTTGGTTAAGTGCTGAGCTTCTGCCTTGATTATAACCCTGAATGAATAAAAGTGTACGCATATTTCAAATATATTGGTTATGATACCAGGAAATTAAACCAAGGAAATACTTTCATGTGCTCATAGTTCTAAAAAAAGATAGCAGTAGTATCTATAAAAAAATTAATTTCAAGATTAGCAAATAATAGATGTTCAAATAATGTCAGTCGGTGACACTGTGTTATCCATAACATAATATTAAAAGTTCTTAATTTTTCCTCTATTGCTATTAACTAGAATTCTGCCTTCAGATTTATATATCCACAGGCTCATAACACCTTTAGTATGCATTGCGATAACTAGAAATGGCTGTATTTTTCAATATAGATGGATTGGCCTGGAGATAAGGAAACAAATGAAATAGGTCCATCAGAAAGATGTGAACTTGGGTACTGGAAATAAAATGGAAGAGAAGTTATAATAGCTAATGGTAGCTGTAAAAAAATAATTTTTAACAAAATTGTATAATGACTCTCATACAGATATAAAATGAACACATGTCAAAAACTTCATTTAATTCATTAATTGAGAGAACCAGGAAGATATTACAACCAGTTCAAAGGAGTATTCAAAGTACTAGACATATACAGGCAGTCAGGAATGCTTAAGTAAATCTGCTTAATAGATGCGAAACTGGCAAAACTGGTCAATATCCATAGAACAATAAGCAACTGAATCTCCTGCGGACACAATTCGCATATTTATGAACAAGAATCATCTGCATTACTGTCAATATTCTGCAACTTGCAGAATTATAATATAGCTCAAAGACAATAAAGGCACAGAGACCCCACAGAATCAGATAACTTGGACAATGTCTAGCTTTCCACTGAGACACCAGCAATCTTTTTTGGTCCTTTTAAAAAGTCTTTCTTAATGTTGTCCCTACAGAGCCCACTTGTGTTGAGTGCCTATTACGGGCCAGGCACTGCCCCAAGTGCCTTAAATGTATTAACTCGTTTAATTCTCATGAGAACCTTATGAAGTAGGTTCTATTATTTTTGTTTTTGTTTTTGTTTTTTTTGTGTGAGGAAGATCAGCCCTGAGCTAACATCCATGCTAATCCTCCTCTTTTTGCTGAGGAAGACTGGCTCTGAGCTAACATCTATTGCCAATCCTCCTC